GCCTGCAAGCCAACGCGCTAATTGTCTAAGGCAGCAATTATTGATGTAGCACAATTAATTAATTTCTTACTGGGCTACAAGTATAGTATTCCTTGCATTTTATATAGCGCATTATTATAGAATGGATGTATACAGAATATATTATAAATGGAATTGACTGCATATTTTGCGGGTGAAATGATGCTGCCAATCGCACACAGCAGTGTCCCACAAACAGTCGTGGATTGAGCGACCGAATAATTTTTTTTAGGGTGCGGGGTTTATTCTCTGGAAGGAGATCCACAAATCAACTAACAACCGGGTTCCTACTTCCTATTAGGTAAACAAAATCATGTGGAGTAAGGAAACTTGCGCAGCCCAGAAAACAAACCCGGATCCTTTTGCTTGTGAGACTCTCACCGCTATGTTACAGGACCTTCAGAAGCAGGAATGCACTGCATCCGTGCAAAATGGTGGATGGGAAGAGAGGACCACTTACTTGCAACTGGTACAGGGGGTAAGGGAATAAAAAATAAGGGCCTGGACTAGGTCTGTCCTGTAGTCGGGATGATTCTGCCTTACATACAAGCTCACCAGCATCCATCTGGTCCAAATTGCTAGTCATAACTGGATACCAGCTGATAACAGAACTGCATACTCAGCAAGAACTGAAACACCTGAACTAACTAAATATCCTCAGCTGTGCACTGAAGCTCCCGTCACGGATTCTAACCTTTTCATTTCAGGAAGAAAATAAGACAAGAACAGCCGGCAACTGGAATAAATACAAAGGTACCTTTCTGGCTTTTTGTAAGGCTGTTCTTTCCTCTCTGAAGAATAGTGGTCCATTAATTGTTGAGTTAATAGGCTCACTGCTTAAATTGATTCTGACAATAATTCACTAACAATAATCCATTATGGAGCTCTTCTATAAATGCTTCTACTTCCAGGCTTGAAGATGCGAACTCCCTGCAATCAACTGATTGTGTTCTGCTCTGAAGATCATGGGCAATCCATGGTAATCTTGTCTCTACACTTACCAATTGTTAACGGCCTGGCAGAACTTTAGGTTCCAATGTTATAGGCTGTATGTCAAATGCAAGTTGCAATTTAATATAAGAATCCTAAACTGAGTAAAACAGCACCAGCATCTCTAGTTTGTATCCATCAACAGCTTCTCCTCCAACCCTCACACTGTCATGTGCAGCATTCTTCAGGGCTATCCATGGTTCTCTTTAATATCTACATGCTCCCACTCATTGATATGATCCGCAGATACGGAATTAACTTCCACACACACATATCTTAAGATATCTACCAAAAGAAGCAGAGGGGAGGTTAAAGAAATGTTTTCACTCACTGAGTTGTTCGAATTTGGAATGATCTGCTTGAAAGGGCAGTGAAGTCCGATTCGATAACAGCTTTTAAGGGAGAACTGGACAGGTATCTGGGGAAGACGGGTTTGCAGAGTTATGGGGAGAAAGCTGGTGATTGGGGTTTAGTGAAAGTGACGTTCTGTCAAAGAGCCGCACAGACTCGATGGGCCGAATGGCCTCCTTCTGTGCCGTAACATTCTATGAAACTATATATATATGTGTGTGTGTGTATATATATGTGTGGAAGTTAATTCCGTATCCGTATATATATATATATGGATGAAACCCAATTCTTTGTCTGCACCTTTGATTCTAGGACCCACTGCTATACTGATATTGTCTGTTAGCCTTCAAGTACTGGCTGAGAGCCAATCTTCTCCAGTTGAATGGTAATAAGACCAAGGCCCTCTTGGCTTAGCTCCTGTCAGCACCTCCTTACCTCAGGTGCTGACAGCATCACTCGCCAGGAATGCACTCTCCATCTCACTGAGACAGTGTGGAACCTTGACATTTTGCTTGAATCTCGACCGTCTTTTAAACCTTACATAATAATAATCTTTGCTTTTGATATCCGTGCAATGGCAATTCTGCCTTCCCCAACCTCCGTATCACTGTCCACCTTGTGTCCAGGCACATCTATGCTATCTCCCTGCTCACCAGAGAGGAAGCTAGCATTCCTAATTCTTCTCTACTCAAACTGCAGATTATTCAGAATTCTGCAACTCCTGCACTAAACTCCGCGAGTATATCACCCCCCCATCCTCACCCGGCTTGACTACCGCCTCATACCACAGGGGATTCAAAATTCTCATCCCTATTCTTAAAGCCCTCCCTCTATGGCCTTATTTCTCCCTACTTCTGCAACCTACTAAAACACCCACTCAGGCTGCTCCGTGTCCCCCCCCCCTGCCTGCCCCACCAATGGGAGTCGGGCCTTCAGCCTTTCTGCCCCCACCTCCGGAACTGTATCCCGGATCCCCTCATCCATCCATCTTGCCCCCACCTCGACTCCAACCCCCATTTTGGGTACAAAAACCCATCACAGTACAGCACCTTGGGACATCCTCCTGCCATGAAAGGTGCTGTACAAATACAAGTTTTTGTTGTTTCTGGCATTTAGTCCCAGTCTGCAAAGAACCCAATTTTCCACATTTGCAAGACTTTATTCCGCTTTGTGGCTAGAGCTCAGCACTAGTTTAATAGTTTAATTAACATGACAAAGTTCAATGTTTTAAGATACAAATTGATATCATGATAATCTTTATATTTGATATAGTGTGTCTGAAATCAAATTAATTGTTTTAGAATACACTTGTACCCAAACAGCATGTTAATGTAAACAGCCTACTCGGCGTATCACTTATTAGGCTGTCGCTTGGGAGAAAGTCTCAATAGCCACAATCAGTACTGTATTAGCTACTGGACAACTTCAACTCACATCTGCATGAGGCATCCGAGTCAATGTTACAGCTGAAATACTGACGATATATCCCAGCAAGCTCACTGTAATAGCTTAAGCATTAAGAAATGTTTAACTGATTCAGCTACGCAGCCTACAAATTCACAACTGTTTCATTAATTGCAAAATGTGCAGTTTTAATCTGTATTCTGAAATGTTTTAATCACACAATAAACCTAGGTCACTTTGTTCAATGTCTTCGTATGCTGGATTTAATCTGGAGGAGGTCTTTCTTCCTGTAAGGTAAGGAAATTCCCTCACAGCACTCGATCAATTGTCATGACCTTGTGCTGGCAACTACAGGAGCAAGTTACAGGGTTTCAAAAAAAAAGCCACAGCCCACTTGCAATAAGTCACACTGCGTCTTGTCCCATCTATTTTGCACATACCTCAGTATGATACAATGCAGCTTGAAAAGCAGAAACCTGAAACAGTTCACCACCAGATGTCCTCATTCTTAAAGCCCTCCCTCCATGGCAAATTTGGGGCCATTATTGCTTATATTTTTTTTTAGCAATAATCAGGCTGAGGACTCATGGGGGGTGGGGGGGGGAGAAGAAATGTCAGCCCTCTGTGGGGTTTTCAGTAGTCTGGTTTCTGAGCCAGAGGGGTCCTCGGTACTCCAGGGCACTGCTGAATACAGCACATCGACAGGACCTGAAAGGGCAGGCCAGGCACCGGGAACATGGGGAGTCATGCCACTCAACTCCTGTCAGCCTGCAAGCCAAAGCACTAACGGTTAAGGCAGTCCTATCTGGAAAGCTTAATCTAAGCGGGAAAGCTTGCCAGATACCACCCTGAAACTGGAATCAGTCCCGTATGGTTAAGCATTCACACAGTCACTCGACCAACCATTGCTGCACTGCTACTATTTTTCAGACATTTTCCCAAACCACACAAAAACAGGATGTGAAATATCCAGATACATTATATATATATATACACACATACACACACACTCTTTAAAATCAATAAACATCATGCCAGAGCCTGGCAGCAAGTAACTAACTTTGAAACCTGCCTTATCCACACAAATTTGGGAAAGAGAATTTTCTTTACAGATTTAAAAAAAAACCGTAAAACAAATCTCAAATGCAGAATCTCTTTAAGAAACCCTTTTTAATACAAAAACAAAAATCATGAACAACAGTGAGTGAAACAAAAGAGGCAGACAGGAAGGGTGCGTGTGGGGGGAGTGGGAGAAACAAGAGAGGGGGACGTGGGGGGAGTAGAAAACAAATGGCATTATAGTCACTTTGTCCTTAATCAACCTTGGTCATTAAACTTTTTTGAGCATCCCAGGATTACTGGGGAGGGTGGGGGGGGAGAGAGAGAGAAGGGTATTCTCTTTCCCAATCATATTTTTGTGTGTTCGATCTTTTCTTGCCTTAAGTCTCTCTCGCTCTCTCTCTCTGGCCGCTCTTCTCCTTAACACTTCGCCTTCTACCCCTCTCTTTTTTGAGCATCTGAAAGTCACTCTTTGGGAGTTTTTTTTTTGCCGCTTTGGTTATTTTTTTTTACTTTGGAGCAATTTGGAACAAGTCTGTAGGTATTTTGCATTCTTTCTGGGCTCAAATCCCTCCGTTAACTCATTTTCTTCACCTTTTAGTTATCAGGGATGCTGATGGTCTCTCTCTCCAACAGTCCTGCGACTGCTGTTGCCAGTTGGTTCTTCCCAAAATTTCTTCCAGATTTTTCTTTTGCACGTTCTACAGCAGCTTCTGGGTTCTTTCTTTGCTCCTCTCAAAATATTTTGCTCCCCAGAGAGGACCGTGATCCCTCTGTCTCTCTCCCCCCCCACCACCTCCAGTAACTCTGAGACTTTCAAAAAAAAGGCTTGTTTTGTGTGTTTCGGACCAGTTTTGCGGTGGTCGCAGCATCTTCCTTTGCTCCTCTTCCTCCTCAAAACTAACTTTCTTCACTTTTGTGCTCTCCGGGGATGATGGCGGTCTCCCCCTCTCTCTCCCGCGCGCACCCCTCCCCCCCCCAGCCCCTCAGTACTTGAGACTAAAAAAAAATAAGCTCGTTTTGCAGATGTTTTGGACCATTTTTGCGGGTCTTTTGGACCATTTTTGTGGGTGTTTTGGACCACTTTTGTGGGCGTTTTGGACCGGTTCTGTGGCTGTTTCGGACCAGTTTTGAGGGCGTTTCGGATTCCTTCTTCGTTCCTCTTCGAAACTAATTTCCTTCACTTCGTGCTGCCCGGGGTTGATGATGATGATGGTGATGATGGTGGTGGTCGCTCTCTCTCTCTATCTCTCTCTCTACATCACTCTCTCCTCTTTCCCCCCCTCTCTCTCTCTCTCCCCTCAGTAATCCTGTGACTGCTGGGAGCTCTTCTTCCCGCCGGCCTTGCCTCCGCCGCCTCCTCCCCCCCCAGATCCAGACGAGGCCCCGGACGACGTCTTCTTGGGCAGCAGCACGGCCTGGATGTTGGGCAGGACGCCGCCCTGGGCGATGGTCACGCCGCCCAGCAGCTTGTTCAGCTCCTCGTCGTTGCGGACGGCCAACTGCAGGTGCCGGGGGATGATGCGCGACTTCTTGTTGTCGCGGGCCGCGTTGCCCGCCAGCTCCAGGATCTCGGCCGTCAGGTACTCGAGCACCGCCGCCAGGTACACGGGGGCCCCGGCGCCCACCCGCTCCGCGTAGTTGCCTTTCCTCAGCAGCCGGTGCACGCGGCCCACCGGGAACTGCAGCCCGGCCCGCGAGGAGCGCGTCTTGGCCTTGGCTCGGGCTTTCCCGCCGGTTTTACCTCGTCCCGACATAGCCGCTCACTCGCTGACTGACTGACTGAGGCGCAGGGCTCACCTCTGTCCCTGTTCTCCGTCTCTCTCTCTCTCTCACCCGCTCGCTCCCTCCCTCCCAAAATGGCGCCGGACCGCCTCGTTCGTTCGTTTTTATTCCCTATCCTTCGCGCTCTCCGGCCGCCCGCCACGCCGATTGGTCATCCCTGCTGACCCCGCCTCCTTCACCGGCCGGCCCGCTCCCATTGGCGCAGCCGCACGTCAGTCACCGCCTCCGCTCGCCTCAATGGCCGACTCGTCAAGCGCCCGCCTCGCTCGCCGCCCCCTGATTGGCCAGTCCTCTGACTCACCGCCGCCTGATTGGCCCGCCTGCCTGCCTAACCGCCACGTCGATTGGCCAGTCCTCCTGAGTAACCGCCACGCCGATTGGCTAGCTCGCTCCGCGCCCGGCTCAGCGATTGGCCGGTACGTTCTGATTGGCTGGATGCCACGTCCGTCACAGCGTACGCTCTCCTCAATGGGCCAACAGGTCAAGCGCCCGCCTGACCAACCGCCCCCTGATTGGTTGCCTTCGCCCTTCTCCCGGCGCGGGAACCAATCGGACGCGTTCCCGCTGTCGGGTTCGAATCCCGTGGGTATTTTTTGAATGAAGTTTTTATTGAATGAAGAGAGTGGAGGCGAGTGGAGCAGTAACAGATTACTACTGAGGAATGTTATTGGTGATAATTCTGGCACTTGACCCAACGCCTTATCATCACGTCTGTGCGACGTCTCAAAGCGCGTCGCAGAATATGCCGTCACAAGTGTAGTGACTGTGTATTTTGTGGGCGAAACGCGGCAGCCAATTGCGCACAGCAGTGTCTCCCCCCACCACACCCCCCACCGCCCCCACAGTCGTGGATTGAATGAAAATAAAATTTAAAAAAAATAAAGCTGTTTGTGTGGGACACCGCTGTGCGCAATTGGCCGCCGCCTCTCACCCACGAAACACACAGTCACTACACTTTGGCAGTGTATTCTGAGAAGCGCTTCCAGACGTCTCGACGCCGCGAGGAATATTACCGTTACGATCGAATCTGTTTGGATTTTTTTTCCCCCCCCATCAACTTCACGGCCCAAATCATGATGATTTCCTCCCAATATTGCGGGTCGCCGACAAAATCTTGTGGCATGGTGTTGTTCCAAGTCCAAACAAATTTGTTTGTGATACGTGATTTGCACTTTTGTTTTGCAACTTTGACCGTTTATGCTGTGTTTTTCCTGCAACGTGTGACTTGCTCAAGGCTGAATTCTTTCCTGTCGCAAGTTAAAACTGCAAATATTGCAACAGTGTCGGTTTGGAGGAAAAGCAATGGCTCCTAATGTGTTTTTTTTGTTTCGTACAGTATTTTATCTCGTTCAGCTAGCCTCATGCGTCGTTTAAACACTTTATCCCCCAGGGTTTGAGACCCCCAGAGTGTGCGTTAGGGTAACTGCTGGAGCCTAACCAGCTAAAACAGCACAGCTTGCCAATGACATCACTGTCTGGCAAGGTTTCCCGCTGCTTGTCCAGTTAGGACCACCCTATCCATTAGGGGTTTGGCTTGCAGAGTTAACAGAAGGTTAGTGGGAGGATTCCCTGCCCCCAGTGAATGGTCTGTCCTTCAAGGTCCTGCCGATGAGCCAGGCCGGGCCGTGCTGGAGTTAGAATGAGGTGGAGGCTTGTATGGAATGTAAACACTGACAGCGAACTAGTTAGGCCGAATGGTCTGTTTCGAGACGCCACCCCTTGTGAAGGCCGCTATATAAATGCAGGTTTTGTCGTTGTTGTCGGGGCAGCTGAGGCTCTTGAACCCATCCGGATTCGAGGTGCAGATACAGTAAATACTGTAAAATAAATCAGTTTTTCTATTGACTGAAAATGAGCAGTTCCCCCCCATTTCATCAACGCACTCTGTTTTCTTGTTTAGAATCAATTTTTATTTTCAAGATGTTCGGGGGAACCCGGTTTCCACCTGCGACTGATTGACTGACTGTAAAGTTAACACATAGGGTGGTGACAACGTATAGGAAAGTGAGTATAGATAGGCCGTGTTTTTTTTAGTGTGTATCCTATTCGCGAGTGGAGATTCCACCCCTTCCCCCGATCCCAAAAATGTGTTAAAGACCATCAAAACACACTGTTAAAATCAGCGTGTGTGTTGGTAGGGGGAGGGGTAATGAGTTGTCTGTGTTGGTGTGTGTGTTTTGGGGGTGGGGGGGAATATTTCTGTGTTTTTTCTTTCAAAAGAAAATTCCTTCTCTACCCCCACCCCCACTCTTGCATGCACATGGAAGAACAATCCGCCTTATAACCACACAATCTCCCCCCCACCCCGAATAAAATTGGCGTTAAAGTCCGTAGAGTTCCCTAGCAGAAGCCTGCATGAGCCAACCTTAAGTTATGTCATAAATATTGCCATTTCTGGTTACTCGCCTTCACATCCCCACCTCTCTCTCTCTCTCGCTCTGTCTCTCCAGCCCTTTGAACAAGGGGATTAAAATGTATTATTTACAATAAACTTTGTTTTATATACACAATTAAGCACCTACACGTCGCAACTGGCCCTTCAGACCAAGTCCCCAAGTAGCCGAGGCATCCAACCACATTCCTTGGGGGGGAAAAATTAGCCGCTCAGAAATTGAGTAAAGGTCCATTGTCATCAACTGGAAGTCAAAGTACATTACCCGTGCCTTCCCCCTCCCTCTCCCACCCATAGGAACAAGAGGAGGCCATCAGCCCCTCGAGCGTGCTCTGACATTTTATAAGATCATGGCTGATCTATACCTCAACTCCAATTACCCGCCTTTGCTCTGCATCCCTTGATGCCCTGACCTATCAAACATCTATCCACCTCGTTCTTGAAAATTGTAATGGATCCAGCCATAATCCACAGCCTTTTTGGGGAGGGAGAGTTCTAGATTTCCACTGCCCTTTGTATGAAAAATTTACTTCCAAATTTAATTCCTGAATTGCTTAATGTTTATTGATCTTAATTTAATTAATCTGTGTAAATGTAAATCTCCCCCAAACCAAACACTGAGCCAAAGGTCCACTTGATGAATCTTGCAAGTTCCCTGAATCTCTCTCCCACTGCTTCCCTGCCTTCAAAACCCCAATGGAGTCCCATCTTGTTGTCCATGTACTCATCCAATGCTCTTAAACCCATTTCCACTCCGTAACCCCTTCACCTTGATCCCTCCTTTGCCACCTTCAAAGCACATCTCAAGACCCTCTTCTTCGACCGTGCCCTCAGGCACCCTCCTAGCCCTCCACCCCTGCTCAGGTCCACATCCCCGATTGTCCAGCGCCTCGGGACGTCCTCGTGACGTGGAAAGTGCTGTGTAAATGTAATTTGTGGTTGCTGTTGTAAAGCGCTTTGGGGCAGATTTCCCAAGTGAAAGGTGAATGGAAATTGTAGGAAGCTTCCAATCCCCTTTCACTCATTCCAGTGTCCCCTCCACCCCCTCTCTTTACAGTTTTAACCTACTGGAAACACTTTTAAGTACAACACACACAGCTGAGATTATTGTTGGTGTGTGGAGCCCGTGTACATACTTCTGTCTCTATTGCACCTAACTGCTTGTTGTCCCTCTCAGTGCTTCAATCATTAATGGCCATCAAATCATTCCTTGCTGAAGCACCCCACCTGCTTCACATCCCACCATCAGCGATCGAGCTTTCAGCCATTCTCCCCCTCTCCCTGGAACCCCATCCCAGGGTCCCTCCAGCTCACTCGTCCCTCTCTCTCTCTCTCTCTCTCCCCTTTTTAAAGTCTGCCTCAACACTCACTTCTTTGACCACGCTTTTGGTCACATTTTCCTCCAACCTCACTCCATTCAACTGCCCGCTCTCTCATCCTCTCCCCGTTCTTTCCCACCGGCTCGGGTGCCTGGCCAGATCAGCGCTGAGCGCTTTGAGACGTCCTCCTTGTGTGAAAGGCGCCGTGTTTTGTGATTTGTAAATCACAAAATTGTATCGTTATTGGAAAAAGACTGTCTGGTTCAGCCCTAACCTGGTACCTGATCCCAAAAGCTGGTGATTGAAACATCTGGAAATCTCCCGTCACATAAGAAGAGTTCCGAGCGCGAGGCCGTGGGCAGAGGTTGCGTGTTAAATGCTCCGAGACGCTACCCCACGTGACAGAGTGCTGCATAAACACGGTCACAAACCAGGCCCCTCACAATTTGATGGAGTGCTTCTTTCACTCACCCAAACAATCGCGGGACGTTTCACTGAAACATCCTCCTCCCCACCACCCTCTCTCACACGCGCGCACACACTCACTCCACCCACTACTCACTTCCCGGAGAAGTCCCCAAAGCATGTCAGTAACACCACAACTGTCTTGTTAAATGATAATCCATAACAAGCAAAAACGCCAATTGGGTGTCTTCCTGAAACTAAGAGATGGTGAGATATTTTGCTCACCAGCTACGCTCCCCTTGTGTGTCGGGGTGACATCGGTCAGTGTATCAGCAGGTGCCTACAGTCAGAGGTGCCTCCGCTCAATGATCGGAAGAAAAGGACAGACTGACTGAACCCGTGTGCGGAGGTGGCAGATATTGGGTGGATGGGGCCGGGGAGGGGGGAGGAGAGGGAGAAAATAGGGGTGGGGTCAAGGCAGAATAAATAAAGCGGGTCTGTGGGTTGAGGGGAGCGAAGCAAAGGGTTTCACAATGGAAGCAAAGTATCTGGATCCAACGATGTCCATTCCTTTCGTCCTGGCGTTCAAACCTCGGTCACTTAGTCAAATCCAAGCACTCCCAGACGCTACCCACACGAAGGGCAGAGTATAAATGCAAATTGTTGTTGTTGCTGTTGCTTCTCGGGGTCAGAGACGAGGCGTCATGGGGGCTATTAACGTCTCGCAGAAGAGTCTGAATTGGAACGGGATATAAATAATATCTCGGGGATACAGTATATAGTTCGGGAGGTCACGACATGTGCAAGTGTTTGCCAGGAAGGCAAACTGGATGGGTTTTGTTCTTCTTTCACCTGACAAATTCTTATGTTCTTAAAATACTTGTCCCTTGAGCTGGGCTGGGCTGGGCCGGGCTAAATTGAGCTGGGATGAGTTGACTTGAGAGCTCAGTTGGTCAGTCTGGGAAATGGCTCCCAACTCGAAACGCTGTCCGCTTCCTCTTCCCGTTCCCGTTCCGGCTCCGGCTCAGGGAGGGAAGCCTCAGTTCTCGGGGGTCGCCGTGGGGTTACCGTTGGCGCTGGCTTTGGACTTGGACTTGAAGGAGAAGCGCTTGATGATTTTGCGGGAGAAACTGCCCGATTTCTTCCTGGAGCCCACCGAGCCCTCGCTGGGGTTGGACAGGTCATCGTGCGAGTGGCTCAGCCCTGCCTCCTTCTGCTTGCTCCTCCTCCTGAACAGCAGCTTGGTGCCACTGCGCAGGAATCCCACTGATACAGGCAAGGAAGGAGTTAATAATAATAATTCTTGCATTTGATATCATAGAATCATACACTCTTACAGCGCAGAAGGAGGCCATTCAGCCCATCGTGCCTGTACCAGTCTTTAGAAGAGCTACACTGCCTATCGCTCCTTATCACGTCGTTGAGACGTCTCAAAAGCGCTTCACAGGATACATACTGTAGAATAGAGGGAAGGAGCAAGAGAAAGAGGGAGAAAGGGAGAGAGAGAGCAAGAGAGGAAGAGACAGAAAGGGGAAGGGAGAGAGGGAGGGAGGGACGGAGGGCCGGAGGAGGGAGAGGGAGGGAAGGAGAGAGGATGGATGGCAATGAACAAGAAACTTTTACCACGAAAAGTCATCCTGACTCTCCACATTTGATCCAACATCTATAACTGCATCTCAGGGAATAGACCTCCTGTGTAGTGACTGTGTATTTGTAAGCAGCCAAATTGCACACAGCAAAGCACCATGCCACCCCCCACCCCACGCTTAAAATGGCTGACTTCTGGGTCATTAGGTTGGCACCAACATCACTTCCGGGCACGGGCTGATCAGGACAGGTTTCATCCGGGGCCATTGATTGTTGGCCGGGATACTGGGAGAGACTCCTGTCATGTTTGCTCCGAGCTGATCAGGGCGGCCTGTTCCCTCACCACCCCCCCCCCCCCCCCCACCACCCCTTCTCTCTCTCTCTCTCTCTCTCTCTGTGAGCAGAGTTTGGATGGAGGACGTACCTTTGTGATCCTTCAGGCTCCGGGTTTCCAGGGCTCCGGTCGATCCCGTCTCCGACTCGACGTCGTCCACGGACGGACGATCGGAAATGTCGGACGTTGCCGCCTCATCCAGGTCCTGGCTGCTCCTCTGCCGCCGGTGGAGGGAGTCGGTGGACTTCGCCGAGTCCAGATCTTTGGGGCTGCTGCACTGAGGCAACCCGGTCCAACCAGGGTCGCTCTGCAACGACGCATCCATCGACGCAGCATAGCCCACAGACAGAGCCATCTCCTCCTGATCAATGGGGGCCTGGAGGGGGTGGGAGGGTGACAGAAAAAGAGGAGACCGTGAAAAGCTGTATTATCGTGTACTGAACAGTAGAACCAGAGGACACGGCCTGTGATTGAAGGGGAATAAATTCAGAACAAGTCTTAAGGAAACACTTATCTCAGTGAGCGAGCGGTAAACGTGTGGAACAGACTCCCTACGGAGACAGACGGAGGAGGCAGGAAGGTATCATTTGTTTCAGGAACAATTTAGAAAGATTTCTGCCAGGAAATAATATCTGGGGGAGACAGTATATAGTTTGGGGACACGACATGTCAAGCAACTGCCAGGATGGTGGAAGGAGGACTAGACGGACCTCGGTCTTCTTTCGCCAGCAAATTCTTATGTTCTTCTCAACACGGTCGAGAGATCACTAACAACTAACATCAAGGACCAGCAGAGCAGCACTGAGACAACCCTTGTTTTGCGATATAACGCCAATGACATTGAGAAGTCTCTGGTCTCCTGCTTGTCCATCGGCCCCTCCGCTCCACCATTGGTGCCCACGCTTTCAGCTACTAACACCCTCGAAGCTTTGGAACTCTCTCAACCTCGATCCCTCCGCCTGCCTTGGCCTCTCCTTCTCCTCTTTTAGATCCTGACTAAAAATCTTCCTCATCGATCGTGCATATGGTCACCTCCTCTCTCCCTCGCGCTGGCTCAGCGTCAGGCTGTTAAGCGCTCCGAGACGCTACCCTGAGTGAAGGGCGCAAGTTGTTGATGATGATTGATGCGTCGGTGGGAATCTAGCCTTGTGCATGAGGGGGAGGTTGGGGGAGGGGAAGGAGGTTGACCTCTCAGATGAGGTATCGAAACGAGACACCCCCCCCATCGCCCTCGCCCTCCCCAAATTCCGGGTCATTAGGTTGCCACCGACATCGCTTCCTGTTGGTTACCTTGGAGACGCCGGATATGATGAGTGTGCTGCGCTTGGTTGGGGTCTTTTTGGTGGGTTTTTTGGCGGATTCCGTCAGTTGCCGGATGGCTGTCTCCACCACCGGATCCAGGCCGTTGGCAAGGTGATCTGCCGTGTCCAACACACGTCACATCACAAACTGCTCGGTTAGCAGACGCACAAAGCGCCGTATCAGCGCCGGTCGCTCAGTCATTCATTTACCATTAGTCTACGGTAACGCCAAATCGCTGGAAATTCTGCAGACGGTTTGGCTTCCCGGTACAACAATAATAATCCTTGGCATGTCATTGAGACGTCTCAAAGTGCTTCACAGGATACACCGTAAAGTGAATTGATTGTATATTTTGTGGGCGAAACGCGGCAGAAAAATTGCGCACAGCAGCGTCACACAAACAGCCGTGGATTGAGTGACCAAATTATTATTGCTTTTTTACCCCCGGATTATTACCCCCGGATGCCAATCGACTAACAACCGGGTTCCTACTTACTGCCGGGTAAACAGAGGCGTGTGTGTGGAGTAAGGAAACTTGTCTAAGGTTTTGCGCTGCCCGGGAATCAAACCCAGGTCCTCTCGGTTGCGAGGCGAGGGCTCTCACCACTGAGCTACGGGACCCCACAAGTAAGTTTGGCTGGAAAAGTGTGATCTTACCATTGCTGGCCGTTACATTGACCGGACTGTCGTCCACCGTGACCGATCTCTTCTCTGTCACCTCCACCTTGGAAGGTGACCTCGTGGGAGAATCTGTGGGGAGCAGATGGAATCGAGTCATTTGCCGAACATTGCACGTGAATAATTATAATAATAATAATAGCCTTCCATTTTTATGTAGTGCCTTACCACATCGTTGAGGCATCTCAACGTGCTTCACAGAATACACTGTAAAGTGGAGTGACTGCGTATTTTGTGGAAGAAACGCGGCAGCCAATTGCACACAACATTTTTTAATAAACTCATTAAAAATACGCATTTCTCCCATTTAGGGGGTCGGAGTCTATTTTGTGCCATGTGTTGAACCATGTGTTAATCCAGACATATTGTGCTCCATGTGTAAACCACAGGTAAAAGTAGCTGTATTATGCATTATGTGTAAACCATGTGTAAGTGCACACATCTATGTGCCATGTGTAAACCATGTGTAAACATACTTATATTGCGCACATGTATAAGCACAGCTCTATTACGTGTCATGTATGAACCACACGTGTACCTATTTTGCCATCCATCTTGGGCCGGGATTGGATGGTGGTTACTGTGGTGACAATGGTTCCATCCGGCATCACCATCCGGTCCATTTCCACTTTCTTGGTGGGAGTGATGGTCGCTCTAAGGGGAGCCAACGAGGGGGAGGATTTGGATTCTCTGGGGCCCACATAGACCATCTGAAACAAGAAGAGGGCTGATGATGTGGAGCCCTGGAGCTCAGTGGTTAGAGCGCTCACCTCACAAGCGAGAGGACCCGGGCAAAAATTTCCTTACTCCACACACACACGGACGGCTCTGTTTACCCAACAGTAAATAGGAACCCTAACTACTTCAGGGGGGGAATAATCCCTTCAAAAAAATAATAATTTGGTCACTCGATCTACGACTGTTTGGGGACTCCTCTGTGCGCAATTGGCTGCGAATGCTCTAACCACTACGCTACGGGAGTCCGATTTGAACAAAAAGGGGGGAGGAGGGGTTTATCTTAATAGCAACCAGGAGTAACGGTATTGGCTGATTTTCCTTCCCCACTTTGCCCTGCCTTTCCTCCCCCACCCCCCCTCTGCCCTATCCATCTCTTTCCCCTCCTCCTCCGCAGTTGAGAAGCCGGTGGGATCACCGAGGCTTGTTACCTCGAGCGAGACGAAGCCGTTGGACGTGGCGGTGTCGTCGTTGTCGGAGTCCGAGACAGGGAACAGTGGGAACGTCTGCCGTCTGGCCGGCGAGTGGCGGGAACGATCCACAGGGATTGCACTCTGCCCCAAAATAGTGGCTGCAAGAAAGAGAACAATTCCCGCGTTTAACAACAACTACTACTGGTATTTACACACAGCCTCTCTTCATAAGAACATAACAATTTGACCAAGGTCCACCCAGTTCACCTTCCACCATCCTGGCCATCGTTGGACATGTCATGTTCCAAATATTATTTCCTAACTGAAATCTATCTCATTTGTTCTTGAAAGAATCTACACTTTCTGCTTCCACCATCTGTCTCCCGAGGGAGCCCGTAGCGTTTCCGCAGATTTCTTTTGAATTTACCCTCCTCAATCGCAGGCCGTGGCCTCTGGTTCTTCTGTTCCGGACAAGATAAAATTCGGTCTACATTATCCAGTCCCTTTAGAGTCTTACAACTCTCACAGTTTTTTTATTGGTCAGCCAGGGATCTGACACGTACGGAAACCCATCACCGTTGCTTAAGAGTCTCCAAACCAAACTGAGAATTCCATGTCTCCCACCTACACACGGAAATCCCAGAGATAGATTGTTTGGAATGGAATGCCCTCTCTCTCTCTCTGGAGGGATGAACCCTATTTACCTAATTCCAGAAAGTATTAGGCGCAGGTTGGCAAGAGCCAAGGTTTGGGGGGGAGCCCAGAGTGTGCGTCGGGGTAACTGATGAAGTCTAACCGGCTAAAAACGCCAGCTTGTCATTGATATCGCTGTCTGGCAAGCTTTCCCGTTGCTTGTTCAGATGGGACCACCTAGCATTGATTTGCAGGATTAACAGGAGCTGAGTGGTCTCACTCTTCTGCCTGACACCCCTTCCCCCCCCCCACCCCCACCCCCGCTCACCTGAACCTGACAACAAAGACCCTCTTGTTTTTAAGACCTGAAACGTACCTTCCCTCTGTCCTGCCCTTTGCAACACTTTCACTTTCAGCTGCTTGCACCTGGCTCCCATCTCACTGATAAAGAAGACAGAAGCCATTACTAGAGAGATGCAACATTGCAGGAAGTTTGCAAACAACAACAACAAGAACTTGGATTTACGTAGCGCCCAAAGCGCAGGGCAGCGTCCCAGAGCGCTCCCCGAGTGATCGGAAGAGACGATAGGGAGATAGAGGCCACGGCAGAGAGCGTCTAAGTGACCAGGACACCTGCTTGCAGGTAAGTCGGTGCCTGCACGCGTTCGAAAAGAGAAGGGAGTTTCTCTCAGTTAACGCTGTTGGCTTTTGCTTTCTTGACGCCTCACATTCCACTCACACTTAGCCTGTAAGATCATAGCGTTCGCGTGTCAGCCTGGGACAGTGGGTAGCGCTCTCTCTCTCTGAATCAGAAGGTTGTGGGTTCAAGCCCCCACGTCAGGGACTTGGAATCAAGTTGTCTTAAACTGAAGCTCTAATGCAGCACTGGGGGTGTTGCATTGTCAGAGACTTTATCCTTTGGATGAGAAGTTAAACCGAGGTCCCAACTGCCAGATCAGGTCGACGTGAAAGATCCTGTGGCACTATTCAAAAGGAGACGGGGGTTTGACTCTCTCGCTCCCAATGTCCTGGCCAACAATGCCCCACATAAAATTGGTCATTCACTTTCAAGGCTACTTGTGGGACACAGCTCTGCGCAAATTGACTGCCGAGTTCGCCCGCAAAATACACAGTCACTCCACTTAACAGAAAATCCAAGTGAAGGGTTTTGGGATGTCCTCCCAACGTGAAAGACGCTGTACCAATAGCAAGGATTATTATTGTTTATATAGTGCTCTTCACGTGGGTTAGCGCCTCGGGGGGGGTTTAAAGCCTAAGGTGCGAGGAGGAGTCAGAATGAAAGTCGCTTACAAGTTCACCTCGTCGCTCCACTCCGCCTCAGTGCCTGTGCTCGAGGACGTGGGGGTCACGGGCCTCGTTCTCTTCGACTGTAGGGGGCCGTCAAGCTCCAGCACGCAGCATAGCTCACCCACTCCTGTGGGGAAGATCACACGAAAAACAACAGGAGGTCTCAATACGCTTCACAGGATACACAGGGTACGCGCTTCGGATGAGAGGTTAAACCGAGCTCCCTGACTGTGCCCTGGACGTTAAAGATCCTGCGGCGCTATTCGAAGAGACAAGGGAGTTTTTGGTCAACAACAAAAAAAATCAGTCACTCATTTCATGACTGTTTGCAGTACACCCCTGTATGCAATTGGCTGCCGAGTTCGCCTACAAAATACACAGTCACTCTGTTTCACAGTAAATTCTGTGAAGCTCTTTGAGACGCCCTTCCCTTATGAGAAGGTGCTATCACAAAATGCAAGGATTATTATTATTATTACTGTGTTCCCAATTGGACAAAGCAGAGGGAATCTTGTGAAAATTCATAGCATCGTTGAATTATACAGCACGGAAGGAGGCCATTCGGCCCATCATGTCTGTGTCGGCTCTTTGAAAAGACCTATCGAATTCTCCACTGGATGGCGATGGAGTAGCACTGCCCAATAGTTTGGGACTAAGAAACCTAATAAAAATAATATTAATCTTTGCATTTGACATAGAGCCTTATCGGGTAGTTGAGACGTCTCAAAGCGCTTCACAGAATATACTGTTAAGTAAATTGACTGTGAATTTTGTGGGCGAAACGCGGCAGCCAATTGCACACAGCAGCGTCCCCACAAAACAGTTGTGGATTGAGTGACCAAATTATTATTATATTATATAATACGAATATATTATTATATATTCTGACTGGGGAATCTACTTAATGCTCGGTGTGTGGAGTAAGGAAACTTGCCTAACGTTTCGCCCCGCCGGGCGGGAATCAAATCCGGACACTCTCGCTTGCGAGGTGAGCGCGCTAACCACTGAGCTACAGGACTCCATAGTGAAAGTTGTGGGTGGACGAGCTGTGGGCAGTCCATGATGTCTGACAGAAAGTGGCGTCCCTGCGAAGTACATGGGGTGGGGTGGACAACCCCTGATCTCTGACCCCTTGACTACCCCACTCCCTGGCAAAGTTGCTTACCCATCTCCTGGGGTTTGCTCATGCTCACTCTCAGCTGCCTCACCACCAGTCCACGCCCAGCGTTCAATGCCGCCTTCGACGGAGAAGCCAACCTCTTCCCAAATTTTTCTCCCGACACCTGGCAGCGAGGAAAGTAAAGGGTTAACCGCGCAGTTTCCCTCAATTCTGGTTGGAATCATGAGGGGGTGTAGGGCAAAGCAGGGGGTAGTGAGTGAGTGGGAGTGGGGTGGGGGGGGAGGTGGTGTTGGAGAGGATGACCAAAGGCAACAGTTGAAGAGAAAGGGTCTTGAGACGGGCTTTGAAGGCAAGGGAGAGGGCAATATGAGGCGGAGGGGCTCCAGGGCAGAGTTCCAAAGGGTGGGGGCAGAAAGGCTGACGGTCCAAACATCGATGGTGGCGAAGGCAGGGGGATGTGGATCAGGATGGAGCTCACTGAGGGGAGGAACATAGGAACAGGAGTAGGCCATTCAACCCCTCAAGTCTGTTCCATCATTCAGGCTGATCTATACCTCAACTCCAATTACCCGCCTTTGCCCCATATCCCTTGAAATCCTGACCTAACAAACATTTATCCACCTCAGCTTTAAAAATGTGAATGGATCCAGCCATAATCCACAGCCTTCTGCGGGAGGGAGAGAGTTCCAGATTCCCACTGGCCTTTGGGTGAACAACTGCCTCTTGATTTCACTCCCAAATGGCCTTAGGGAGGGAGTGGACAGGTTGGCAAAGTGGGCAGAAGGTGGTAGGGACATTGTAAACCGTCTGAAGAGAAGCAAAGATGGAACTCACCAGGGTGCTCGCCCCGTGAGCCTTGAGGTTGAGCAGCATCGCTGGGCTGGTGCTGATGACTGTATCCTCAATCAGCTCTGCAATGGTGGACACGTCTGCCTTCCCCTCAGTCCTCTGCCCAAGTCAAACGGGAATGGTTAACGTGGTTAAGCAAGTGGCTGGAACATTACATTTTTCACCTCTGCTGTCTTCCCCACCCCTGTGTCTGTAGTAATAATCCTTGAACTTGATACTTGTACTGAGCAGTCAGAACCAGAGGACAGGACCTGGGATTCCAGGGGGTAAATTCAGAACAAGTCTGTGGAAACACTATTTCAGTGAGCGCGAAGTAAATATATGGAGCAGGTTCCCTAGGGAGACAGACTGTGGAAGCAGAAAATGTCAGGAAAGTGCTGGAAAATAATATCTCAGGATACAGTATATAGTTTGGGACAGGACATGTCAAGCGACTGCCAGGATGGTGGAAGGTGAACTTGATGGACCTTGGGTCTCCTTTCTCCAGGCAAATTCTTATATAGCGCTTTATCACATGCTCGAGCCATCTCAAAGCTCCTCACGGAATACACTGTAAAGTGAATTGACTGTTTTGTGACCAAAATATTCCTACTCAACAAGACTTTGTTAAGTAAGTAGGAACCCGGTTGTTAGTCGATTGGCGGATCGCTTTCCGGGAGTAATTCCCTCCAAGAAACAAGAGGAAATAATCGGTGACTCAATCCACGACTGTTTGTGGGACGCTGCTTTGCGCAATTGGCTGCCGCCATTTCGCCCACAAAATATGGAATAAATTCCCTTTATAGTATATCCTGTGAAGCGCTTTGAGACGTCTCGAAGACATGATAAGGCGCTGTATCAACTGCAAACAATGAAGAGGCCTTCAAAGCAAACGAGTGGGTCTGACTGGAGGAGCCACTGTCTTGTCCAACTCCTCTGCTCCTCGTGGCTCTAACCTCAGCTACCCGGTGAAACTGACCCCCATTAAATCTGGAAAGATGCCCGGAATCATTCAAAATCCTTATCCTGGCCTTCAAAGCCCTCCGCAGCCTTGCTCCTGCCTTCCTCTGTGACCTGCTAACCCCATACCGGCCTGTCCACTCCCTCCGCTCCTGCTCCGTGTCCCCCGCCCGGCCCCCACTCCCTCCACCACCCCCCCCCCCCCCGATCGTCGGCGATCGGACCTTCAGGCTTTCAGTCTCTACCATGCGGACCTTCAGCCATCCCACTGTCCCCTTGCCTCCCTCAAGGCTCATCTCAAGACCTTCCTCTTCGACCGCGCCTTCTACCCCCACCCTCCCTGCCCTGACTCCCCCGATCCCAAACCCCAGGCGGGTGCAAATCCTTGACTGTCCAACACCTTGGGACGTCCTCCCGACAAGAAAAGGCGCCGTGTAAATGTAATGTGTTGTTGTTGTTGTGGCCTTGTGGGCTGTCTTACCCCTCGTTGGATTTTGGGAGTGACAGTCAGGGATAGAGCAGGGGGCTCCTTAAAACACCAGGTCACCAGCAAGCCCCCCACCTCAGCTTCCTCCAGACAGATCTCCATCTGCAGCAACAATGGAACCCGGTTAGAACAGCGTCAAACGGCTCTCGCCTCACGTACAGCTCTGATACAAGCGCAACGGGACTCTACCCTACGTGAGGGGCACTATATAAATGCAAGTTACTGCTGCCGTTGTTGACTTGTTGTTGTTGAGACCAGGCCCCAAATTGAGAGCATCACCAGTAACTGGTTACTCATTTCATGGCTGTTTGTGAGGCACTGCTGTGTGAGAGCTGACAAATACACAGTCGTTCCACTTGGCAGTATATCCTAAGAAAAGCTCTGAAACATCCTCGCGACGTGATGAGGCGCTACACCAAATGCAATGACTCTCATCACTAATTATTATTATCTCAAAGTGCTTCGCAACAGTTCCGTGCAGCGTAGGGACTGCGTTTTTGCAGGGCCAACGTTTTGCGCGCAGCAACGTCCCACAAACAGTCGGGCGGCGAGCGGCCGATGTTCTTAATCCGGTGGGATTGTCGGAGGGTGAGTTGGGAGGGCGTCAGGGGAGAGTGAGTGTGTGCGGGTGGGTGTGTGTGGGGAGGGAGACGTTATTACTCACTTGGGCCATCAGAGGGAGCAAATTCCCCTCATTCCTCGCTCCCCACTCCTTAAGCCCCTCTTTGCGCATTCCCCCTTCCCCCCCACCCCCCACCCCCCATCCCCGCCAGCGGCCAGCTCACTCACTCGCCAAAGTTCAGGCTCTTCGAGACGCTGCCCAGCATGAAGGGCACTATATAAACTCAAGTTTATAATAGTTTGCCTTTCGCCCACAAAATGCGCAGTCAATTCACTCGACAGTAAATTTTGTGAAGCGCTTTGAGACGTCTCAAAGACGTGATGCGGCGCTACATCAAACGCAAGGATCATTATTAAGTTGTTGTTCTCTTGAACGTTTCTCTGGGATAATTGAGCTGATGTCTCGGTGTGACATTCTCAGCTGGGCAACGAGGGGTCTCTGAAACCTCACTCAATGAGGTTCCCCTACCCTCCACCCACCACCCCACAATCTTCCTTGGTTTAACTGGACTGAGCACCGACTTCGGTGGTGGGGGGGGGCGCGAGGGGGTAAAATTTGAACCAATAGCACCGGGCTTGTGTGATCTGAAGGCCCCCTTCTTTCCAGAGCTCCTGAAGGGGTTAATAATGTATACAATCCTTGCAATTTTTAGCTCACATTATCACGTACCCAACTCATTCCGCCCTCCGCCTTCTTCGTCTTTCCCCACCCCCTCCCCCCCAGGCAGCAGCTGTATGTGACCCGCTTTGAGACATCCTCCTGACCTGAAAAGCCTTATACCGAATGCAAGAATTATTATTAATAATAATAATCCTCGCATTTGGTACAGTGCCTTACCACGCCGTCGAGACGTCTCAAAGCGCTTCACAGGATACACTGCAAAGGAATTGCCTGTGTATTTTGCGGGCGAAATATTGCTGCAGTATTATTATTATTATTATTATTTCTGTTGGCGAGAGAAAAATGTTCAAACAAGGGCGTTCTGAACAGCTGAATGAATTCCTGCATTTTTCTGCCAGATTCTCAACCAAGTGGGGAAACAAACCCAATTCTTGAGCGCAGTCCTGTGTGGGCGTGTGAGTGGCGTGTGTCTGTGTGTGCTGTGCGCTTGAGTTCCTGTGTACTGTGCGTGGGCGTGTATGTGTATAAGCATTGATCTTGTTACTAATCGTGGGCCTGGATCAGCTGGTCACATTCGCCTCCGTAAGGGATGCCATACTTCATATTAACTCTATGTGCAACCCTTTGACTCTGTGTCACAGGCATGTTTTATACTGTTAACCCTGCAAGCCAAAGCCCCAAGTAGGGTGATCCTCGCTGGACAAGCAGCGGGAAAGCTTGACAGACAACGCTATCAACAACCACAACAAATTACATTTGTGCAGCGCCTTTCACGTCAGAAGGACTGGGGACATATATCATTGCCATATCCATGGCAAGCTCTGCGGTTTTGACTGTTTAGGCTCCAGCAGTTCCCCAACACACACTCTGGGCTTCCCCCCCCCAGCCTTGGCTCTTGCCAACCTGTGCTTAATTCTTTGGAATTAGGTAAACAGGGTACATCCCTCCAGGGGGAGAGAGAGAGAGAGAGAGAGCGCATTCCATTCCAACAATCTATCTCTGGGATTTCCATGTGTAGGTGGGAGGCGGGGAGTTCTCAGCTCGGTTTGGAGACTCTTAAGCAACGGTGATGGGTTTCCACACGTGTCAGACACCCGGCTTTTTTCAGACAAACCTCTTCTTTTATAACATAATCCTTGCATTTGATACAGCGCCTTATCACATCGTTGAGACATCTCAAAGCGCTTCACACTTTGTGAATTGACTGTGTGTTTTGTGGTGGCGAAACATGGCAGTTAATTGCGCACACAGCGTCCCACAAACAGTTGTAGACACCTCCCTCCCAACGTGAAAAGCGCTGTGTCAAATGCAAGGGTTACTATGGTTGAGCAACCATTTCTGTCAGGTTTCTCCAATGAACTCTCCACAAACCCACAGCTCTGGTTTGACGTTCCTCCGAGCAGTTGCTGTTCCTAACCTGGGTCAGAGCCACCACCAACAACAACTTGCATTTACACAGGGCCCTTCGTGTAGGGCAGCCTCTCGGAGCGCTTCACAGTGGCGGAGCCTGACGCCAAGCCGGGTGGGAGGGGAGCTGGGAGGGAGGTGACCGTAAGCACGTACGAAGAGGAAAGTCTTCAGTCGTGATCTAAAAGAGGGGAAGGAGAGCGCAGGCAGGTGGAGGGATCGGGGGAGAGGGTTCCAAAGCTTCAGGGCTTAGTGGCTGACGGTGGAGCGGAGGGCACGAGGGACGAGCAGGAGGCCGGAGCCGGCCGAGCGAAGGCAGTGGGTAGTGGAGTGTGGGAGAGAACCTGTGGGCGGTTAGGGTCTCTCCCAGTGCTCTACACACACAAGTACCTGGGCCTGAAGAGGAGCCAAGACCACATGATAGGGGTCCATGGAGACGGCTGCTGGAGATTGTTGAGTAATGGACACCGCAAACTGAATGGTGTCCACCACCAAATGGCAGCAAAGAACCTAAAGGGAGCAAAAGAACACTGGTCAAACCACCACCAACAACATGTCGGGAGGACGCCCAAGGCGCTGGACAGTCAGGGATTTGCACCCGAGCTGGTGGGTGGGATCAGGAGGGGTGGGGGCAAGGGGGTGGGATTGGGGGGTGACCGAATGCCACGCTTGAAGAGGAGACAAGGGAGGGAGCAAGGCGAAAGCACTGTGGATTGGAGTTCCAGAGGGTGGGGGCAGGGAGGCTGAAGGCCTGACCACCGATGGTGAGGCGGGCAGGTCAGAGCAGGTTGATATGGGGTCGGAGAGGTAGCACGGGGGCAAGGCCATGGAGGGCCTTGAAGGTGAGTACAAGGATTCTGAGCCTCATCCTCTGAGGGATGGGCAGCCAGTGGAGCCGGGCGAGGGTGGGTGTGATGGGTTCACGGAGCCTGGTGAGAGAGAGGACACGAGCTGCAGAGGTTCTGGATGACCTGCAGTTGGTGGAGAGAAGAGTTGGGAAGGCCGACAAACAAGAAGTTAGCAATAGTCGAGCCTGAATGTGATGCATGTGTGGATGACACAGGTGGGAGAGGTCCAACACACACAGAAGCCCATCGCAGTGCACCCCCCGCCCCCCACTTAGCTTACCATACTCTGGTTCGACTGCTCAGTGCAGGTCAGGCTTGTGATGGTCGCGGAGGCTGGGAGTTGGGGCCCCTCTTCGAAGCTTATCTGCAGCGAACTCTGAGAGTATAAAACAAAGAGAGAGAGAGTGAGAAACGGGAGGAAGAATATGAGTCACTCAGTCTCAGCTCTGCCCGACCAAAGCATTCAGAGCAACAACAACATGCGTTTACACAGAGTCCTTTACGAAGTACAGGGTCTTGGAGGGGTTGGATGGACGTCAAGCAAAGGAGAAGGATGCAAGCGAGAGGACCCGGGTTCGATTCCCAGGTGGGGTGGAACCTTAGGAAAGTTTCCTTACTCCACTCTTACGCCTCTGTTTACCTCGCAGTAGGTAGGAACCCAGTTGGCTTTTACGGGGGGTAATAAACCCTCAGCAACAAAAATATTTGGTCAGTCAATATATATTCACTTTGCAATATATTCTGTGAAGCGCTTTGAGACATCAAGAAGACGGGAGAGGGTGCTATACCAAATGCAAGGATTATTATACATTATTATATTATTAAGTCACAACATCTCAGAGCCTTAGGGAGGGATTCAGCCAGTCTCGCCCTCTCTTACTGAACTCGTGTGTTTAAAATAATCTGTCTGCGTTTGCCAGCGCACTGTCTGCTGCGATCACTGTCCACTTGTGTCACTGCCACTGCATCGGAGAATCAGAGAAACCCACAGGACAGAAGGAAGCCATTCGGCCCATCGTGCCTGTGCCCGCTCTTTGAAAGAGCTCTAATAATAATACTCCTCGCATTGGATGCAACGTTTTATCACGTCTTCGAGACGTCTCAAAGCGCTTCACAGGATACACCGTAAAGTGAATTGACTGTGTATCTCGGCTGTATATCTGCAGCCAATTTCGCACAGCGGCGTCCCACAAACAGCCGTGAATTGAGTGACCAAATTATTTTAAAAGGGATTAATAGCCGCGGAAAGCGATGCGCCAATCAACTAACAACCGGGTTCCTACTTGCTGTTAAGAAAGAGCTATCAAACTAGACCCCCCCGCTCTTACCCCATAGCTCTGCAAATTTTTCCTTTTCGAGTCCCTTTCCAATTCCCTTTTTGAAAGTTATTATTGAATCTGTTTCCACGCATCCTTTCAGGCAGTGCATTCCAGACTGCAACAACTCGCTGGGGAAAAAAACTTCTCCTCGTCTACCCTCCAGTACTTTTGCCAATTATCTTAAATCTGTGTCCTCTGGTTACCGACCCACCCGCCAGTGGAAGCAGTTTCTCCCTATTTACTCTTATCAAACACCTCTATTAAATCTCCCCTTAACCTCCTTTGCTCTAAGGAGAACAGTCCAGCTTTACTCGTCTCTCATATGACTAAAGTCCCTCATCCCTGGTACCATTCTGGTAAACCTCCTCTGTACCCTCTCCAAAGCCTCGACATTTTCCCAAACGTGTTGGTGCCCTGAATTGGACACAGTACTCCAGCTGAGGCCTAACTAGTGATTTATAAAGGTGTGGGATAATTATGAATAATATATAATTATTAGCATCATTTTGAAGGTTTTTCTTCTAGTTTAGTGGTCACTTGTTCAAAGACGCAAAGAATTTCTTCTTTAGCCTACTTCACATTTTTCAAAAACATTAAAAAATGTAAGTGTTCTATTAATAAGTTGGGAAACGAGGTCATGGTTTTTATACTGCGGGCCGAGCGCGGGGAAAAAAAATTGTGCATAGCTGAGAGAGAGATTAATTTGACAGAGAGGTGTGTGTGTTTATATAACAATAAGTTCCATTTACAGCAAACCTCACATAAGTCGTATCAGTTGGGACCATACATCAGATACTAATAATCCTTGCATTTGATACAGCGCCTTATCACATCCCAAAGCGCTTCGCAGAACATACTGTAAAGTGTAGTAACTGTGCATTTTGTGAGCGAAACGCGGCAGCCGGTTTGTGCACAGCATTTAATATGACTTTCGCAAAATATGAGTTATGTGAAACTGGTTAATGATAGGAAATTGAACGGGACTTCGGCAGATGTATGACTTAGAGAGGTCTCGAAGATGTGAAAAACGCTACATCAAATGCAACGATTATTATGTACGACTTAAACCGTTATAAGATTTATACGGATCAGACTTATGCGAGTTATACTGTATGTGCAGTGTGAATGCACTTCTCTCTCTATCTCTCCCTCTATCTTTCACTAAAGGTCCCCAGTCCATTCTATCACTGGCCACTCTTCCCCGACTTAGAAGAGCCACAGCCAGGCTCCAACGCTCCGAGGGGGAGGAGGAGGGGGTGTAACAAGTTATTGTTGTTGTCCCAAACTGTCGCTGTGTGGCTCATAGGCCATTGGGGCAGCTGGTCATTGAGGAGGGCTGCAACAACAACAACTTGCATTTATATAGCGCCCATCACTTGGGGTGCTACAAATGCACCTCAGAGAGCTTGAAAGTACTGGGTCCTCTGACAACCTTTATACAGTCACACACGTGAATACACCCACACGCTCATACATTCTGATACACTCGCGCACACTCACTTGCACTCAAACATACACACATACTCACAAGCATACACGCAAGTACACATCCTCCTAAACAATTGCACATGCATGCATTCACACACGCACTCTCACACGCACACTCTGGCACACACACTCTCACACGCACTCACACGCTCACACGCACACTCTCACACGCACTCACACTTTCACACAGATACTCTCACATCCACGCACATCCTAACACATGCACGCAACAACAACTTGCATTTATATAGCACCCTTCCCAAGAGGCATCATCTCGGAGGGTTGAAGTGCACACACACACGCATTTTTACACACACAGACGTCCTCACACGCGCACAAGATCTCCTCACACCCACTGACACACAAACAAACAGCAACCGGTAAAACCAGTCGAGTGACAGATAAACCTCCCAGTGGCCTGGTTACCTAGCAAACGTGACCGCATTATTTTGTGGCACATCAAAGGTTATTAACCGCACAACACAATCGTACATTTAGGAATGGCTTGTGGTATTGTACTATTTGTCTCGCACCATGAGAACACAAAGCCTGTAGCCAAGAAATTTATTGTGCAATAAAATGGGTTACAGGGCTAGAATCTGATGACTTTCGTGGCTGCTTCCAGATGTGGGTTGAAAGTGTTTGTAAATAAAACACTGAGTTTCCATTTCTCATTGTCAGCCTCAAGGCAAACCTTCCTCCACTCACCTCACCAACTGCCATCCCCAAAATCCCCCTGAACCCCAGTGAAATGACGGGGGGAGGGAGCGGAGTGAATGGATTCAACTATGCAAACACAATAGAACCACAGCAACTGACAGACTGACAGCAGACCACAGAATAAGTGTCCTGTAACGTCGTGGTTAGTGCGCTCGCCTTGCAAGCGAAAGGATCTGGCTTCGATTTCCGGGCAGGGAGAAACCTTAGGCAAGTTTCTTTATTCCACACGCCTCTGTTAACCCAGCAGCAAGCAGGAACCCAGTTGTTAGTCGATTGGCGGATCGCTTTCTGCGGGTAATAATCCCTTAAAAAATATATGATTTGGTCACTCAATACACGGTTGTTTGTGGGACGCTGCTGTGTGCAATTCACTGCCACGATTCGCCCACAAAATACACAACCAATCTACTCTACAGTGTATCCTGCAAAGCACTTTGAGACGTTTCAAAACCGTGATAAGACACTATGTCAAATGCAAAGATTATTATTAACCACAGAAACTGACAGCAAAGGACAGAAGACGGCCAGTCTGCTTATCGTGTCTGTGCTGGTGCTTTGAAAGATCAATCCATTAACCTGCCTTTCCCCATCCCCCCATCACATATCTCTTCCTCATTAGACACCGACGTGCTTCCCTTCTGAAGGCTGATATGGGTTTGTAGAGCACCAACGTTTCCACAAATTCTCTTTGATGCCTAAATCAGACGCTATCAATATGTTGCCCAGAGCAGAAGGGGGTTTTGTCTGTCTAACCTCTGTCTAACCTCGACAAAGACCCCATTAATTATTAAACATGACAGCTCCTTTTAGACCTTCCTTCAATGGGGGCTTCTTCATTTCCATGTGTTCGTGAGATGTGTGGAATTTTCAGCTTGGTTCGGAGACAGTGATGGGTTTCCGCACGTGTCAGACACCTGGCTGACCCCCAAAAAACTAGGAACATATGAATTCCCAGACAAAAAAAGACCTAGGTCCATCTAATTCGCCTTCTACCATCCTGGTAGTCACTTGCTACAATAATGGAGATGTTCAGATTGCAACTAATTCTGTATGGATTAGTCTTCAACAGATTGGGAAGCTTTGGGAACCTTTGATCCAAAAGGTGCCAGGTTCTTCCAAGCCCTACTACACTTGTCATGTCTCAAATTACTCATAACTTGTATCCCAAAATATTGTTTTCTAAAATCAATCTATCAAATTTCTACTTGACGTTTCGCCCACAAAATATAAAGTCACTCCACTTTACAGTATGTTCTGTGGAGCGCTTTGAGACGTCTCCACAACTTGATAAGGCGCTATATCAAATACAAGGAGTATTATTAGTATTAGAATTATTGAATGAATCTTTATGCTTCCACCATCTCCCAAGGGAGTCTGTTCCATAGATTTGCACGTGTCTAATTCTTGCCTTCGACAAGACAGTATCTGTGGGACATATCACCTGGCAACCTCTATCCCTGGTGACTCTGGGACTCATTTACTAACCCCCCAGCGTTGCTAGGACTTCCTTTTCAGCCGTTCAGCTGAGTGTCTGACACAGGTGGAAACCCATCACCGTTGCTTAAGAGTCTCCAAACCGAGCTGAGAATTCCATGTCTCCCCTACACATGGAAATCACAGAGATAGATTGTTGGAATGAAATGAGCTCTCTCTCTCTCTCTCTCTCTCTCTGGAGGGATGTACCCTGTTTACCCAATCCCAGAAAGTATCAGGCACAGGTTGGCAAGAGCCAAGGTTTGGGGGGAGCCCAGGGTGTGGTTGGCGTAACTGCTGGAGTCTAACCAGCTGTACCCGGCCTGGGAGAACAGGAGGGATGAGATCAAACGGATCGAAAGGGCTTCTGGATCGA